GCAGGGTAGGTATGTGTCAGGGGTCTCTGAAGCGGGAGATGATGTAATGCAGGGTAGGTATGTGTCAGGGGTCTCTGAAGCGGGAGATGATGAAATGCAGGCACATTTGCTTGTTCACACCCAGCCTTGTACGAGGGTGACCATTTAATCCATGTCTGGAAGGACACTTCAAGCCAGGACAGGATTTGTAAACTACCATTTTAATTAAAGGGACCTGGATTTCACTTAAGCTCTGAGTTCTTCCTGTGTGCTGCGTGCTAACTGGTCAGTCTCCAAAAATAATGCATGTGTCACTAATGATAATCTGAAACAGCTGGTCTTTCAATCAATGAAACAAATCATAAAAAGTACAAGTCGAACTAAACTATTTAGCCAAGCACAGGGGCGTTTCAGTTTTAAAGTAGTTTGTAAAACCTGAAGTAGCTCAGTGTGCCTCCCTGACATGGATTATCTGCTCACCCTATTTGTACTGGCATGCAGGCAAGCTTACATCCAGTACTGAATTGTTGTAGAGGCCATGGGCAAGACACCTTGGACTCATTAAAGGCTAATGATCTGTGTAGCCTGTGAGGAGCTGCCTGTACCTGTACTTACATGTGCAAATGGAAGTGTTTTACCCCAAAAATGGTTTACATCACACAGGGCGTGTACCCTCTGAAAGCTGAAACAACCTAGTCTGTTCAGTGACATAGACATGCCTGTGACAATGACATTTCCCTGACTAGGGAAAAGAAACGGAAAGTCAGAAAGGGCACTGGGCGGAAGATTGTAATAAACTCCTTTTTCTAATTTCTTAAGAAAAAAACACTTTACTCAAATGGCACTTTTGGTTTGAGTGTACAGCTTTGTACAGTTTTTTGTTTTACAATATAAAATGAAGTTTAAATTGTCCTATTTATCTATCTATCTATCTATCTATCTATCTATCTATCTATCTATCTATCTATCTATCTGTCTATCAATCAATCAATCAATCATCTGCTTACCTGTTGCACCCTCCTTTTACACTTCCTGTGCTCTGTCCCGCCCCGTACAGGAAGTCCCTACCTCTTATTAACCAGCGTTTTCTCTCTCCAAGGCCAGTATCGCCTCGTTCTGTCTGCCTTCTCACATGGTTCTCATTCAAGGTAAGATGGAGAATATTTTAGCCAAATGATATTAGTTACTTTAGTAGCAGTTTATGATTTTTAATTAAGGGACTAGAAGTGTGACATGCTGAACACCCAGGTAACAATTAAAAAAAAAAAAAAAAACTCTTGCAAATAAATTATTTTAAATCACTATAATTAGCCACATAAGAATGAAACTATTAGCCATAACTATCTTTGCCTGTATCTCAGTGTTCCTCTGTGAGATCTTTTGTACAGGAATTCTTACTTACACGGTACTTTGTTGCATTACCAATGTGAAAGTAATAAACGCCGGGCTTGTTTTCTTTGTACTGTACATGTTACATATACTTGCTGTAGAACTCGCTGGACCTGTCTGATCAGACTCAGCACAGAGTATAAAATGGAAACTTATTCATTTCTTATTTTACGAGTACCTGACCTCGAAAATGAAAATGTAATTTTGCATCATATATTTTGAAGCTCCCTAACACAACAGACAAAAACCTTAAAACTTTCACCTTTACTGTAAAAAAAATGTAAGTTAAACTTGCAAAAATTAGTTAACTGGCTGCATCAGAAATATGAGTCGCTTCAAAGTGAAGTTTTCAGTATAGAGAGTTTGGGATAAAAATATAACCAAATTTTCTCAGTGAAGGTGAGAACACAGCGAGCCCAGGTGCTCAACTTGGATTTTCTGCTCAGATCTGATTTCTTTGTTAGCTTGTTCACAATATTTATAAAATGTGGCCAATACCAGATTCAAGTGTGAACTGTGAGTGAGTGACAGGCAGTCTGCTTTCAGTGGGGCAGTGGATGCTGGTTCTGCATGGAGCTGAGTGTGGAAATGTGGAGGCGGAGCCTGGAGTACAGTGTAAAAAATCATTTTAACTTTCAGTTGTTTCAACATACTATTTTGAGTATATTTTGAATACACTGAAGTTGTTATGCACTGTACAAAACAAAAAATTTGTCCCTGTGCTACTTTAAATTTTTATGTTAAGGTGATTTACATTTTACCAGCTCGCAATCACCTGTGGCATAAAAGTGAATCAAATGTATGATTCCAGTCTTGGAGAAAATCATAAAACAGTGAGAGATTAATGTTAAACATTTGTATGCTATTGGTCATGGGTTCTTAACCACAAGGCCAAGATTGGTAATCAAATTAGCCTCTCAGCAGGAGTGTCAGTGTAAAGGCAGTGCTCACTGACATTGATTATAAAGCTTGCTAGACTGCATGACATAATTAATTACTTATCAAGGCTGAGGAGAAGGCGAGAGCTCCCCTAGTGGCCATTGGAGTGCATTTCCCTACAGCAGATATAACGGGTAGCAGCCTGATCACTTTTAGATCGCAAGCTGGCATAGAACAACAGATCAAATCAATTTGCTCATTTACAGTTTTTCTCAGTAGCTTTGATACCAAACCAGCTGAGAAAAACTGTAATACCAGGTGCTGGTGCTACATCAGCAGTTTCTGGTACTCCCCTTGTTATTCAGTTCCAGGTACTGATACTCCCCATATGATTCAGTTCCAGGTACTGGTACTCCCCATATTATTCAGTTCCAGGTACTGGTACTCCACCTATTATTCAGTTCCAGGTACTGGTACTCCCCATATTATTCAGTTCCAGGTACTGGTACTCCACCTATTATTCAGTTCCAGGTACTGGTACTCCCCATATTATTCAGTTCCAGGTACTGGTACTCCACCTA